AGAAGTCACATTTCTGAGTCCAAAGCTGAACTCGGGGCTCTTTGTTCTGATGCATCCAAGGTAAGGGTGACGGTGTTGTAACAGTGATGATACAGTCTTGGCAGATTCCCGATTTGGAAGCTGCCCAGTTTAACTTCCCCAACCCTCTTCAGTATCATCCTGTTACCCTGTGCACTCTTCCTGTCCCCTAGAAGTTCCACTTTCCATTCTCAGCCCTGGTTTTTAAATAATCCCAGCAGGCCCTAACAGACAGTTAAGGCATTCCTCAAGAAAATTACGTCAACTGTTAAGCAACTGTCTCTGGCATCCTCTATTTGGCTCTGTGATCCTGGGGCTGGGACTCTGCAGACGACCTTGGGCAGAGCCAGGTGGAGCACTAGAGGGAGGACAAGGCAGCAGCAGGAAGTAGGCACTTGCTTCTGCCTGTCTGCATCCTGGGGGCTCCCTGTCTGTCCACACGCTACTCCTTTCAGACTCACTCAGCACCTCCTGCTGCAGCAGCTGAATCCAGTCTGCAGATTTCCCAACACTTACAGGAGCAGCACCACCCCCTCCTCAGAAATGTGAGTTTCAGCCATGCAGGAACTCTCCTCTAAGTTTCAAAGTCTTTTAATTTCAACCACTTCCCTTAGTTCCCTCAGGCCTGCGGGAGCAATGCTTCCCACAGCTGCCACCTCTATCATACCTTCAGAAATCTCCTTTTATCCTTTCAAGTACCTAGTTAACAATCTTACACAGTTAACTCTTTAAATTCTTTCAATTAAAAAACTAGCGTTGTTTTTCTCCTGACTGATGCAGAAATAGTGTCAAGGGTAATTTTCACATCGAAACGGACTTATTGCATTTTTAAAAAGCATTCAAACTCTAAAGGAATGAGCTGTTGTTCTGGGGTGGCAGGTGACAGGCAGAATCAAAGCCCATCTACCCTACTACTAAAGATGGCCCTGGATACAGCAACTCAGCCTGTAAGAAAGGTCTTCTCTTTTGATTGTAGATGCCCTACCAATGTAGTAGTCCCTCAACCTCAACCAAACTGTAAGATCCCAGAGCACAGATAGTGTCTTACACAACCCTGTTACCACCAAGACATGCCTCTGCCACACAATAACTGAGGAAGAGTTTAGGGAATCGCTCTTCCTACCCTCAGCTGAAATACACGCTCCGGTCTCCACGACCTTCAGCTCTCGGGAGTTTTGATACTCACCCGCCCCTCAACAAATACACAACTCTAGAAGTTTGCTTTTAGCTTAGTTTGTAAGTCCATACTCTCTTGCATGAGAAAAGACTCCACTGTGAGAAATAAAATCCAACCACAAATCAGTAAATACTAGACGCTACACTACTTCGACTGCAACTCATGACACTTACTACATTGCGCTGTGTATTATAGTTACGAACATGCCTGTCTTTCGACTAGAATTCAGAAACCTGCACGTCTGCGAGAGCGCTCAGGTCTGTGCGCCCAGCCACACCACCATTCTGTGATTATTTCTGTGCCTCGCCCAGATCGGCTGCGCAGGGGAACCGGACTGTGCTTTTGCAGCTAGACTTAAACGTGTGTCCTTCCTCAACCTCTTACTGCCTCTTGCCTTGAAAATCTTAACTGTAAGATGGTGCGGCAGGATTGCGGTAATGAGCACACAGTACTCAAAAAAGCTATCGTTACTGACTCCAGATGTTCGATATTTAATATCCCGCGGGAGGAAAACGACTACACTCCTTATCGTGAGACAACTGCGCAAGACCAGTCCGCCCAGCGGTCGGAAGCCGCAGAGACCAGGCTTTCCGCCTCTGCCCGAAGGGGCTCTGCGAGCGCCGGCCAGGGCACAGCTGGGCGCCGCCCCAGCCCCGCGCCCACGCACGATCCTTCCCGCCCCGGGAAATGGCGGAGCCGCGGGGGCAGGACCGCCGGCCACCACGGACGGCCCCTCCCGCCGCGAGCCAGCCCGCCCTACCTCCATAACTTCCGGCCCGGGGCCGCGGCGCGCGCGGATGACGCAGTACCTCGCCCAACCCCTTCCGGGCTGCTGAGTTACACCGTCAGGCATTTCCGGCCGCACGCGGCGCAGGCGCGAGACTTGCGCTCTCGCGGGAAGCGGCGGAGCCGTTGGGGGTGCCGATGGAGCCCGTGAAGGCTGGGCGTCTAGGAGTTCAGACCGAAATGGAGAAGCGAGGCCGAGGGGGAAAGCCGTCCCCGAGCCAGGCACCTCAGCAGCAGCCTCCGACGCCCAGGAAAGAGAGGAGGCCTAGCATGTTCGAGAAGGAGGCCGTGAGTGCGGGACCGCGAGCGGCGGAGGCGGCTTTCCAGCCCCGAGCGGTCCTCGGGCGTCCGCGCCGCCGCCTGCGAGGGAGGCGCGCTCCCTCCTCTTCCTCTTCCCCGGGCCCGGGCGGGGGCGGGGCGCCTCGGACGCCGGTGCCGAGGTGTTTTTCGTCGAGGCCGTGGGGCCCTGCAGGAGCCGGTTCAAAGAGTGGGGGCAGCATCGGCTTCACTTCTCAGACTTACTCGGCTTGCAGATGTCCTGAGGGTGGGCTGCGAGGAGTGTTGCTTTTTACAGAAACACATGATTTTAGGCTATTTAGTGCCATCACGCATACAGAGGCAACTTTGCCAACCAGAAATAAGCGTTCGTATGCCGTGTTTTTAAAAAAAAAATTGACAAACCAAACAGAAGAATGAGATGTTTTGAGTTTTTAAAACATCAGCAGTCTCGGTATTTAAA